ATTAAAGTGAAATGTATTTGACGGCTCCATAATTTGTTAAGATGGTGCCAGACCAATACTAGTAGTAAAGGGCTGTACTTACTCAAACTTGAGAACATGCTCTTTCGCTTTCGAGTCCCATTCCAACTTGCTATCCGTCCTTTTCAAATTTTCAATATACCTACAAAGCAAAATATAGAATCGATAATAAAATATGGACGACAAACTAATCAGTCTACCTGTCAAACTGAATGGGCTGTGCGCTGTGGCCGATGAATTCGTAGCCGTAATGATTTAATCCGATCATTACATACTTGCTCAACTCTGGTGAATGCTCAAGAACAGCAGCGAGAGACTGCTCAACCCAACTGTACGGTGCCACTCCAGTAATCTCATCCGATCGATAATCGTATGTCATGATCTAAAAGAATCCATAAATAAGTCAAATACTAAAATGACTCTGCAACGGACATGTATGACGAAGCAAAAGACCAGGAGTAGTCAGACTTCAAAATATTACAGATAAAAAAATTGTTTCACCGAAGACTTTTGAGCGCCATTGTTTATCCTATTTACCAAGAGGCGCTCCGTCTGCCGTTCTGTACATCTGTCACGGAAATTCCCTAGCTCCTCGGGATCCGCCTGGAGGGACCGGGTCAAGTGTGGGATGGGTGGGCAAGGTCTCACGAAGTACAAAACACACATCAGCTAAGCGGAGCCCCGCCCACAGTGGGCGTGGCGTGCACCGAATGGGCTGCATTGTCGACCAAGGTTTCGCAATTACAAAACAGACTGAGAAAGTGGGTAAAGGTGTGCATTGGTAAGCCAGACCCACCTATGGTAGGCGGGGCGTTCTCTAAAAATGCAATGCATAATGGGATTCATTTAAAAAAAATTCATAACTCGGTTGGGAGAAAGCCTACAGAGCAGAAAAAATTGGTGTAGGGGAGCAATGTCTAAGGTGTTTCCCGCATACATGACGTGGGCGGAGGCCCGCCCACAATGGGCGGAGCGCGCTCTGAAGTGTACAGCGTTTTCTACAAGTCCTCATAATTCGGTTCCGAGAAGTCTTGGAGAGCGGGAAAAAGGTGGATAGAGGTCAGAGAAGGAGGGAGGCTATGTTAATAGATGTTAATGGTGGGCGTGGCTTTCACGAAAATGGGTGGAGTTTGCTGCCAAACTTATAACTCGTTTCGAGAAGTCCCGCAGAAGCGGGGAAGTGAATAGAGAAGGAAATAAGGTCAAATGCTATTGGTGGGCGGGCACGCGCCAAAGTGGGCGGAGTTATCCACGAAACATCATAACTCGGTTCCAAGAAGTTGTGGAGACGGGAAAAAGTGGATAGAGGTTGGCGAGTGAAGGGCCGTCAACCATTATTGGTGGGCGGGCACACAAAGTGGGCGGAGTTTGTTGTCGAAGCTATAACTCCGCTCCAAGGGTATCCGGGTACCAGGAAAAAAATGGAGAGAGGTTGGCGGAAGGAAAGAAGTCGACTACCTCTGATGGGTGGGGCATGCACCGAAAATGGCAGGGTTGGCTGCAACGCTTATGAGCCGCTTCCGGCATTTTCCAGAGATCGGGAAAAGGTAAATCGAGGCCAGCGGAGGGAATGAAGTGAACTTCTATGGTGAGTGGCGGGATCGCCGCCAGACATATGAATCGGTCCGGAGACAGTCCAGAGACGGACCATGTGGGAAGAGGTTGGCAAGAAAGAAAAGGTTGGGTGCGAGATGCACCGAAATAGGCGGGTTTGTCATGAGATTAATAAATCGGTTTAGTGGCAGTCCGGGGAAAACGGACAATGTTTGATGAAGGAGGGACGGTCAAATGCTGTCGGTGGATGGAGCATGGAACAAGCGGATAGAATCTAGCTTACAGGTCGGTATTCGTAGTGTATCGGTCCATATTTGAGAATTTACCCGCAATTCCATATCGCCGCAGAACGGTGATGTGCGCGCAATAGCGTGCGGCGCCAACGGGTCCCTACTATACATAATGCGTCAAATTTGTCTGTCCTTCTATTTGTCTCTCCCTCTGTCATGAAATTCGGTACTACCTGAAGAACCATCTACTGAGTCCGAGTCGAGTTTGGCTAGGTGCGGCATCGTGTAAGAAGTTACAAACACACCAGTGAGGGCGAGCTTACGCTTACGTAAGAGAGGAGACGTGTGCGCGAGTGGAGCGGAGCCGGCAACAAAAGTTTCGCTTCGATTCTACAGAACCCCGAAAATCAAAATTGGGTGAAGGCGTGCACTGAGTTAATCAGACCAAATAGGGAGACTTGCCCGCGGCAGACAGACCGTTCTCTGAATAGGCGGTTCTCAATAAAAAAAAATCCATAGCTCGCTTAGAAGAGAATCAACACAGCAGGAAAATACAGGCTTAGAATAGCATTATCTAAGGTGTTCTCAGCACACCTGCACTGAGCGGAAGCCTCGCACACAGTAGGCGGAGCGTGTCCTTAAGTGGGTATGTTCATTGCAAATCTTCATAATTCGGCGCCGAGATAATTTACAAGGGAAGGATGTCAAGTCGAAGTGGCCATTTGTAAGGTCAGGCTCAATCCATGTCGACTAACATGCATATAAGGGCAATACGCACTGGCCACATA